CTCCCCTTCTCTGCTTTTTCAATTAAGCTATGGGAAAGGGAAAAGATACAATTTATTTTGGACCAAAATCTGCATCAGAATAAGAAATGGGTAAATCAGTTCCAGTTCATATCTTGAGCCAGGATATTTTTAGTGTTTTGGAATGTTATTATCCAATTCCCTGCTCACGGCAGTAATCTATGAAACCATAGCTAATAAGGGGGTCACCTCCAACCATGGGGAATCCTATACTGTTTGGGGAAGGACATATATAATTTTACTTGTGTTCAGCTGCTCAGATGGTACAAATCCATGTGCTTCTAACTATTATTTTGGGGTCACTAATTCCAAATGCCAAAGCCTTGTAAATCAAATAAACAGCATTCAGGCAATGTTGAGATGCTCACCACAGATGGATAGATACATAGCCAAAAGAGGTATAAAATTTTATGCTATTCTCTCTTAGATGCTGAGAGTGGAATCAACACTGTAATATGATTTACATTACGGTGAAAGTATTTGGTTGATGCAAACAGGAGTTAAATTGTCACGTTCTGCATAAAGCTTTGCCCAGAACTAAATAGAAGCACAATGACACACTGCTTCAAAATGTGTCATATTACTTGTGATCTGCTTCCAGAATGAGCTAGAAGGGGGCAGCTGCTGACAAAATTCCTGAACATTCACCGTAAGAGGTGGTTGAAAGAATGTAATAAGAAGGAAGATGAAATGGAAAAGAAAGTGTGTATGTGTGTGTGTGTGTGTGTATGTGTAATCTTCACCAACTGTTGTGCATTCCAGATTGTGCATCTGTGTGTAACAGATACATTCTTCTAAAATGCCAATCGGCAGTTTGAGACAACAATTTTAGGGAGGAAAAAAAAAATAATAATGTGCCAAAGGGTCCAAATCTTCAAAGGGAATCCATTAAATCAATTCAATGAGTTGAATCTAATTAGATGCCTTTGAGTCAATTTAGGGATTTGATTGCCATTTGTGCATGCGTGTGCTCTCTCTCTCTCTCTCTCTCTCTCTCTCTCTCACACACACACACACACATACCCACCCATGCTTTTTGATTAATTGAATTGGTGCTTTTAATTCAAATGCTCCCCTTCAAATGTAAATCAAATGGACTTTTCCAATCAAATCAACAGTTTGAGCCAACTTAATATGTTGAATTGAATGAAGGGTTTGGATCAATGGAGGAGCTACACCCTTCCAGCCATAATACCTGATCATTCAAACAGGCAGTGCTCTATTAATCCTTCAGGTTTTAAATAATGAAAATCCCTATTTTCAATTTAGCCAAGGGAAATTAAGACATCTCTCTCTGTGTCTCTCTCCCTCTCTCTCTCTCTCTCTCTCTTTTTTTTTTTTACTGTGTTCAGGAAATGTTTGAAGGGTGTTATTTTCAGGTGAGTATCAAAACTACAGCACAATGAAAAGGAAGAAACAAGTGTTGTAGGCAAGACAAGTCCGTGCTGAAAGAAAATACACGGTGATATTTCAGAGGTCAGTTAGGCTATCAAAAATCTGTTTGATTCTCATGACAGGTACAAGAAAAGAGAAGGGGAGAAAATTGTTTCTAAAAAGAAGGTGGTGATCCGTGTTAGGTTTCTTTGCTTGGTCTTTCATTCATGAAGTTAACAACCTCCAAGATAATAAAGAATAGACATTCCATTTGTTCTATGTATCTATAACTGTAGAGTGAAGACTTTTTCAATATCTTTGGATTCCTGGGCTGCAATGTAGAAAAGTAATAGCTTTCTGCCATCAGAACTATCAGTTGATAAGAGTCCCAAATCAATAGGAGAGTGAAAGCCTCAACAGACTATCTGAAGATGTGCAAAACAGTACACAACTTTTAAAGATCATATACCATGAGAATTTTTGGACTTGGGGATTTTGTGTTATTTTTGTAACCAGCATAGATTGGTTTTTTTCCCCCGTAATGTAACTTGGAGAACATTGAATTTAGTCATTCAATAATGAGATTCTTTCCTGAAGAATATAGACTTCTTTGCATCGGGTTGTCAGTGATTTGGGAGACAGCTTGATGTAATAGTTAAGGCAACAAGAGTAGAAACCACGAGACTGTAAGTTTTAGTCCCACGTTAGCCATGAAGCCAGATGGGTGGCCTTGGGCCAGTCGTCTCTCTCAGCCCTAGGAAGGAGGTAACGGCAAACTATTTCTGAAAAAAATAGTGCCAAGAAAACTTCAGGGATATGGTCAGGCAGTCACCAGGAGTTCACACTGACCGGAAGACACCAGGAGAAGAAGAAGGGCAGGGGAAAGAGAAGGAGAAGCAGAAGGAGAAGGGACAGGGGAAGGAGAAGGTGTAGGAGAAGGAGAAGGAAAAGGAGAAGGAGAGAGGAGAGGAGGAGAAGGAGAAGAAGGAGAAGAAAGACTTACAGTCTATCAGAAATATCCTCTTTCTATAAAGAAGGCTTCAGTTTTCTATGTAATTATCAGTGTTTTAGAATGTCTAATTTCTCTGGCTGCTTTTCTTTTTCTTTCTTTCTTTCTTTCTTTCTTTCTTTCTTTCTTTCTTTCTTTCTTTCTTTCTTTCTTCCTTCCTTCCTTCCTTCCTTCCTTCCTTCCTTCTTTCTTTCCTTCTTTTTTTCCTTCCTTGTCCTTGTTGGAGATGGTAGAGGGGGTTACTGCTAATATTCTTTTAGATAACTTTCAATCTTTTGCTTCTGATTCTGAAAAAGTTGTATGGAAAACACTCCTTCCTAATGTCTTTCTATGGAATTCACTGAAAGTAGAAGTCTGGGGAAACAGACAACTGAATGCATGTTTTTTTTAACCACCTGGGACTGAATTCTGCAAAGGAGAAGACCTAGCCCGGATTTAATTTGTCTTTCTTTCTCATCTTAATCCATTTCCCCTTTTGTTAGCTCATATATATACATAGTGCTTTTGCTGAAATTGACCCATCCTTCTCTCCTTGCTAGATGTCAGAAACACTTACTTCTCCCTCTCTTCCCCACCCAACAGAAAATACTGGTAAGATGTTGTTGATGTATACAGTTTCCATAATTCATCTTCATAGATGGCTTCCTGCCATTTGTCAGGCCAGGAATCCCTATAAATAGATTGCAGAGCTTGAAGATTTCTCAGCAATGAACCCTACTTTAGCAATGTGCCACCCTATTGCTTTTTTTTATTCTATTACCACTGCGCAGGAGAAGTTGACAATTTAAATGATTCGATCAAGGCCTTTATTAGAATCCCAGCTTAGTTGACTCAGCGTTTGATCTCCCCGGAGTTGATACGCAAAGCTATTGGAAGTATCCCCTCCCTACAAAAGGAGAGGGAAAAAAGAATTGCTGTGATCTTATTTGGTAAATTGTATTTTTGTAGAGCGATGGTCCTGATGGGCAAATATTATTCCATCTTTACATTTGGGAAATGCATATTAAGTAAGATAAAAGTAAAAGTTTCCCTGTCCAGTTGTGTCTGACTCTAGGGTGTGGTGCTCCTCTCTGTTTCTTGGCTGATGGAGCCACCATTGTCCAAAGACATTTTCTGTGGTCATGTGGCCAACATGGTTATATACCAAAAGTGCACAGAACACTGTTACCTTCTCACCAAAGTGGTACCTGTTTACCTACTTGCATTTGCATGCTTTCGAACTGCGAGGTGAACAGGATTTGGGGCAAGTAATGAGAGTTCACCCCATTCAGTACCATCATAACTTTGAACAGCTGCTGAATGAACAGTCAGCATACAAGGCAACCTGAGCCTGGTCCATCCTGGCAGCCCCAAGTACATCTCCATTCTGGCCTTAATTGAGGATGTGATGATGGTGGTGGTGGGGTTAGCAGACCACCAGGCTGCCACCAAATAATAGGAATTAACATCGAAACTGCATTGGGCAATTCGATATGCCTCGAACCACGAAATAGGTGGCAGATACATTTGATAGTAATATTTGATAACAATATTCAATATTTGATAGTGTTAAAAGTATCATTGCAGGATGTTAGCTGTTCTGAGCAAAACTGCCTTTTGCAATTGATTGTCATTTTTGCATTGGCATTGACAGAATCAGCATTGGTCAATTGCAAAAGGCAGCTTTGCTCGGAGCAGCTGACATCCTGCGATGATATCTGTAAGACCATCAAACATCCACATCTGCCTATCCCAGGTCCTTGGGAAGAACTCGATAGGTGGACAAAAGTGCTAAATTCAGTCTGAACATCTGGCTGACTCAGTGACGAACATAATATGCAAAACCAGGGCTAGAGATGTTGAATGGCTTACCTGTGGTGAAAAGCTGGATTTACTAACTGGCTGTTAATGACGTGCATCCTTAATGCCAAGGTGAAAAGCGCTCTCTGTAGTCCTGCTTATTTAGGTATTAGAGAAAAGAGAGATTTCAGTTGAAAAGCTGATAAACCCTCGCGGTAGAAATGACAAGACATAACAAGACGTGATAAAAAAATCCCTCTAAATTTAAAGCATTTCAACCAAGGCACTGTGATCACTTTATCTTTTAAGTGCCTGAGCTATCCCCCTCTCCCTTTCTTTTAATAGACAAGAAATCTGATGGGAAAAAGGAAGACAAACTCCAGAGTGGTTGGTGGCAGATGTAATCTGCTCTACAAATATGGTTCCTGGCAGTGGTGGGATTCAAATATGTGAACAACCGGTTCTCTGTGTGGATGCTGCTTCTGGAAGTCCATTCTGGGTCTGGGCAACAAAAAATCAGCTACCAGACTTTTTTCAGATGTTTCAGAACCTCCATGAAACCTTTCTCTGTAAAATAGCAATCTTTTTGTTTGGCACGACTAACCAGGTTGAAGATGCTATTTAAAAAACAAATGGAATCCAGGGAGATGATCCTGTTTAGACGGTTGGTATGTAAGAGCTCTGCAGATAATCCTTGACTAACAATAGTTCATTTAGTGACCGTTTGAAGTTACAATGGCACTGAAAAAAAGTGACTTCTTACCTTTTTTCACACTTACATCCCCATGGTCATGTAAACAAATTTGGATGCTTGGCAACTGGTTCATATTTATGACGGTCGCAGCATCCCCGGGGCTCACGTGATGGTGTTTTGCAACCATCTGGCAAGCAGTTGCTGATCCATTTCTATGGGTTTCAAAGTTTAGTTTTTCAACACACATATATGGTATATTGTATTTGGTGATATCATATCCTGGAATACACACTAATGGTTCCTTGGGGAAACTGCAGATTTACATCCTTTTTGTTGTATTGTTCTTTTCCCCTTCCACATTTATTCTTGTTTTCATAACTTACTTATCGCACACCTGGTGTTTTTCTACAGAGTCTCTCATCAGCACATGTTTGGAAGCTATTGGGAGCAAGAATTATAACTGAAGAAGTACGCAACTGGGAATAAAGGTTTTCTTTACCTCACTTTCAATAAATGTAGGGATTTTTCCCCCCTGCTTTTGGTATTCCAAAAAAGATGGATCAGCTGTTGTTGGTTTTTTAAATTATTTTCTCTGTCTACTGCTATAATTGTCCAGTGCTCTGCTAAAACACGCTGTGACATTTGGAAAACATGGCTAGTCTGTTTCTCTATTGATGAAATGATCATGCTGTTTATGGAAGAGGTTATTTGGGCCTTCCTTATCGAAGAAACTTCTAATGCAACCTGAATGATAGATAGATAGATAGATAGGTAGATAGATAGATAGATAGATAGATAGATAGAGATAGAGAAATAGAGAGAGATAGAGAGAGGTAGAGAGAGAAGTAGAGAGATAGAGGTAGAAAATAGAGAGATAGAGCGATAGATAGAGAAGTAGAGATGTGGGGGGGGAGAGAGAGAGAGAGAGAGATCTGATCTTCGTCAGTTTTGTTCTTTACATATGTGTTAAATTTCAATTGTCTTTTGTCATGCCCTCATCCCATCACTAAGCTTTATCCTCAAAAGAATAATCAAAACATGGCTATGGAATTCTTCCAGTAATGAAACTCTGCGGTGATATCACTGAGTTTAGAAGGAGAAGAAAAATCCCTTGCAGGGCAGACAAATAAGAGAAGTTGAAAGCAATGCAGGGCAGAGTTGGCCCAGGGGGTATCCATAGAGGTGACCCCTAGATATCTTCCTGGTTATTCACCAAGCTTCCTTTCCAACCTGATCTAATTGTTAAATAGATTCTTTAAAAGTGATTGAATCGGGGTGAGGGAGAAATTAAGGAAATTAAGTTGGCTAGGCTCAAGCATCATCTTTTAATTCTCTAAAATTCTTCAAGTTCCTCAAGCAAACTTAGGAAATATCACTCAAGGTTGGTTGCAACTCAAAACAATGAAATGATGCTCAACCGTCAAGAAAAAGGAGAAGTTAGCTGAGGTATTGCAGAGGAACTGGAACAGAAAAGGCCTTTTTGTGTCACAAAAAAAAATATTTTGTGAACTTGCCATTGCTGCAAAAGAAACAGTAATTTGTGGTGCTGAGAATGGCAATATTAACAATTACAGTAATAATCCCAATGATACTAGAGATACCAGAAATAGTGTTAAATAAGCAAGCCATGATGGCTAAGGGCTTGATTAAATAATATTGGATCAGACCAGAATGGATAATTTTCCAATTAGAAGTCCTTGCAGTGTCCAAAACTGTGAAATATTGGTTAAGTATAGAGCTGTCGGTTTAGAAGGCTGGAATTTGTTATGCTTCATTTAAGTTAACAGCTTCAGATTAATTTGCATTACAAATAAAATATTCCATTCTTTTCATAAGGTTAAAAAAAACCAACCACGTGTGGGCAAAGCCACGTGTTCAGGACAGATTCATTATTAATCTGCTGGCTTTAATTGTGTGGGATCTTTGGTATTTTATACGATACTTTATTTTGATAGGCTGTTTAAATTTTAGTTGATTTAATTAAAATAATCTATTATGGTTTATATGATTTTTATTTTTTGTTCTACTGGGGAAATTGATCTGAAATCCTGAAATTCTGTAGAAATGAAATAATTTGAGAACGAGGCAAACATAACACTAGGCAAAAACCTTGAAGAGCCTGAACAGAACTCTCCGACTAGTTGAGAGAAGAACAGATGTGCAAAGCCCTCATTTCAGTGTCCATTAATTCCATCTCAAGGACATGAAAAGAATACAACTCCTGATTATACATTTGCTTGGAAGAAATTTAAGAAACAAACTGGTGGAGGAGAAAGGGATGGTGTCATTTTGAACCGACCTGCTAAGGGAACTATTGATATGAAATGTTTGCCTGGTTTTGCACCGCTCACATTGAAACAGCCTTTTATTGCCTACTCTCTTAAATCTGAAAACCACAAAGCCACATGCAAAAAGCCATCACTAATTCTCTTGTTGAGTGCTGGGCTAGTTTCTGAAAGTGGTGGTGTTCTCTTTGCAAAATGCTGGAGTGTCAATTTGTATTAGTTTTCACTCTAACCGCAGAAGGATTTGTAGTAGGAAAGGATTTCTTCCACATACAATGATGGTATCTTTGTAATAAACTGAGACAGGACCATTCACGAAAAGAGAGACTCTTTACCAAAGTCCTTCAGGCTGGATATGATGGTTATTGTTATGTGCAAAACAACTTGTGGGCTTTCTTTCCAAGCAAACATTTGTGCCATTTTATAGTGGCCAACCTGCTTGGCACCAAGGAAGATAGACTATCAAACTTTGAATGAAATATGACCAGCAGAAGTGGTTAGGAAATGCCAACTATTGTATAGGGCCCAAAACTATGACTTAGTCATGAAAATCTAGCTAAACATGGGGTATTATCAAATAAAGATGATTGTCTATCAAATCATAGAATGGAAGAGATGAAAGGGATCTTGTGAATCCTCCAGTGAAGTCCCCACGTGTCCTCACCAGGGATAGGGATTGATTGATCCCCCATTTGAAAACTTTCAGCAAATGAGAGTCCATTATTGTTGTTAAAGGCGGGATAGAAGAGAATATTTGCAGCTCAGGATTAAACTCCTGAGGGAGTGCTCAGGTGCTCTCTGAGCTTGGTGGTTTTCTTGCAGAAGTTTCCTCACTCAATTAGGCAACATCATTAGTGCCGATAATGTTACCTAGTTTGATAATGAAACATCTGCAATAAAATGTCCCAAAGTTGCTTTTTCTAAAAGACAAATGGATTTTCTTGTGTGTTTTTTCTTTGAAAGCTCAAAGATGCATTTTCAAAAGGCAATTGGACTTTGCTTTTTCTTGAAGACGTTTCCCTTCTCATTCAAGAAGCTTCTTCTGTTGTCTTTCAGAACTGAGGAAGCTTCTTGGATGAGAAGCAAAATATTTTCAAAGAAAAAAACTAAGAAAGTCCAGTTGCCTTTTAGAAAAAGCACCTTTGGGACAACCACGACCTGGTTAATTGAGAATTTCCATAGACGTCTGCAAAAAAAGCATCAAGCTCAAAAAACACCAAGGACCCCACAGTCTTGATGGTCCGATAAAACTGCTGAATTCTAAGTTACATATTCCTGTACAGAAAAGTCCATTATTCAATAATAGAGCTAATGGTATACATGAAAGGTTGAGATTCAGCCGATGATGTCGCCCAGGTGGAAAGACTAGTCCTTCCTGGCCAATCCAAGATTTAATATCCACGATGACTGTTTTGCAATATTTGTCAGCTTTTAACATCTTTCTGATGAAAATGAGTGGTTAAAAAAAAATCTGCTGGAATCAATTAATGAATATTCAGAAAATGCCATCCCTACACCTTGGAACATATTCCTCTCCCACCTGACTTTAAATCATTTCATAGATACTGTGATGGCAATGACAAGGCTTCAAATGATTAAATTGATAAGGATCTAATCTCAGTAATTTACATTAAAATGTGGCACTTATCCTACTCTCTGTCATGTTAAAAAGGCAACTCAGAAGAAGCATTGCTAATTTTTCAATTGAGCTCTAGATTAAATTGCCCTCTCTAGAGTCATTCAGAAAATAGAAGTATTACTATACATTGTCAACTGAGATTTTTATATTTTTTCCTCCATCTTTCTTCTTTATCCCACTGCTCTAGTCATATAAAACTATACTTGTTTGATTATAGCCTTTTACTGGAGAAAATGGATAGGATGTTAGAACTAAGAATGGAATTTTTCGATGTTAAGAGTAGTGTTATTATGGAAGATTAGCTAATATAATCCTTGGTTGTATAAACAGAGGCACAGAATCAAAATCACGTGAAGAATTAGTACTGCCTTATAAATCCTTAGGAGGACCACGCCTGGAATATTGCATCTAGTTTTGGTTGCCACATTACAAAAAAAGATGTTGAGAGTTTGGAAAAAGTGCAGAGAAGAGCAACTAGGATGATTAAAGGTCTGGAAACAAAAATATATGAAGAATGTTTGCAGGAACTGGCTATGGCAGTCTAGAGAAAAGAAGGACTAGGGGGGACTAGCAGTATTTCACAAGGAAGAGGGGGTCAATTCATTTTCCAAGCCACCTGAAGGCAAGATAACAAAACAACGGATGGAAACTAATCAAGGAGAGAAGCAACCTGGAATTAAGGAGAAACTTCCTAACAGCGAGAACAATTATGGTAACCAGTGGGACAGCTTGACTGGGTGCTTCATCATTGGCGGTTTTAAAGAAGAGACTGGACAGCCACATGTCAAAAATGGTATAGAGTCTCCTGCTTGAGCAGGGGGTTGGACTAGAAGGCCTCCAAGATGCCCTCCATCTCTATTCTGATTGATTACTAATAGTTCATTAGCTTAACTCATTTCATTGGGTATGAATTATTTTATTTGGATATCGGTGACTTTAGCTATTTTAAACTATTTGTCTTCTTTTTAAAGTTGTAAGCTACCCAGAGTCTTGTGTAGTCAGGCAGCCTCTAAACTGTAAAATTACACTAAAATTAAATCAAACTAAATTAAGTTAAATCTACCAAGAGACATCTGGTACAGACAACGCAGATTTCTATAGCTGAATATACATCCTTCAGCAGAATCGGGGTATGAGAAAATGTCCATTTGAAATGTCCATTTCAAACGCTATTTGAATGCATTTATTAAGAACTGGAGGCTGCTAAATTTTAAATTTATCATCCATTGAAGCCACGTGGAATGCTCAAGTGTACCAAGAACATAGCACAAGATATACAGTTTTACAAGCACATATTTGATTGCAACACGAATGCAAAGCTCACCATGGAACAATGTAAAGCAAAGGGAAGTGGTTATATTGCTTCAGGTTGCTCTGCTTCCAAGTCTTCTCCAACCAGCCTTTTCCATAGGAGAAACCTCTTAAGGACTAGGAAAGCTGGAGAAAACTGAGTAAAATAATCAATACAAGCCTTAAAATAATCAATACACTTGACAGCACAATCAACCATATCCAAAATTAAAGATATATGCTGGCTGTAATGATAGGTTTCACCAATTCAAACATCTTGGTCCCATTGATGGTACCAAACTTGCTCAGAAGGGAAGGAAGCCTCAGAAAATAAATCAACAAAACAAAACAAATCAGCCTAAGAGTCACATGCATTATGGAAAAGGTGGACAGGAATCAATAATAGATTAAAGTAAGCAAAGGCATTAATTATTCATCCTGATAAATGCTGATAATTGCAACCGGACTAATCAGGGAAGGAGATGGCAATGGTTGCCAAAATAGATTCTGATGGATCAAGGGCAAAAGCAGTCCAACTGTCCCCACCAATAACCTTTGAGGACTGTGGAAACAGTGAGACAAGAAGATGCTATCACTTGAGATGATAGGCGTGTGGCAGCAGTTGTCTGGATGTATGTTACTTAAATAGTCTCTGTATTAAGGAAGGAAGGAGGAGAGGAGGAGAGGGTGGGAGGAAGGAAAAAAGGAAGGAAAGATGAAAGGAAGGAGAGGAGAAGATGGAAGGAAGGAAGGAAGGAAGGAAGGAAGGAAGGAAGGAAGGAAGGAAGGAAGGAAGGAAGGAAGGAAGGAAGGAAGGAAGGAAGGAAAGATGTTCATCTCCCATGCTTCCTTGAAATATACATAACAATTTTCTCACTAGAGCTTTAAGCTACAATGGCAGTTCAGGCCCCAATGCTGCAACAACATCTGCAACTAATGAATCTCATTTAAACTCCTAATTCTCTACTACTATGCAGCCATTTGGCTCACTGTATTTTCCAGCTTTGAGTCTCTCTTGCCCAATACTTCTTCATTTCCAGTTAAGTGCTCAGCTTAATCACAAACTAGGGAAAAGTGTCCAACCCTGTACCGTATCTACATTGGTTTCCAGGGTGGCCCCAGTCTCCATTGGACATTAGTAAGATTTTATGACAGCTGGGTATATTTGAATAGGTCTTCATCATAACGCAGAACACATTTTAATTCCATTCTCCTAATATTGAGGAAACAGGACTCAAAAATGAAACTATTTGTGACTTTACTGTATGATTGGTACTTTCTTTCACCCCCTTCCATTTAGTGGAGCCAGAATGGTAATAAATGACATAATCAAAGAAAGAAAGAGAGATTAAGACTGCAAATTTACAGTTTTAAAATACCCAAATTGGAGATTTTTAAATATTATATTTGTTTCTCAGTTTAAGCAAATTGCTTCTATCTCATTTATTGGACTAATACATGAACTGAAACATTAGCATTCTTCAGTCTTGATGTCTATCACAGGAATCAGATATTTCACTGTTTGATTGTCTACTATATTGTTGTATTGATTGTATTTTTAATTGCATTTCAATTTGATGTTCACTATCCAGGGGAATGGGATGATAGATAGATAGATAGATAGATAGATAGATAGATAGATAGATAGATAGATAGATAGATAGATAGATAGTGGGATAAGGATTAACACAATCAATGGGCCGATGACATGCTCAAGGAGCCGGGCGCAGAGGCAGGAAGCTATATGAGCTGCCTTCCCAATCTCCTGCTATTCTAACTTTGATGACGCTGGCAGTTTTTTGGCCGGACGAAAGCTTAGTAACTCTTCTTAACCACAGGCTTGTTTATATTAAACAGGCTGGTTTATTATATCCTGGTGTTCGTTTTTTCTTTTATTTGTTAGCATAATGCCCAGGATTCACATCTTTAGTATTTTAAAAGAGATGATAGATAGATAGATAGATAGATAGATAGATAGATAGATAGATAGATAGATAGATAGATAGACAGACAGACAGACAGACAGACAGACAGACAGACAGACAGACAGACAGACAGACAGTTCAATCTCCCTTCTGCTTTACTGATGAAATTCTGACAATCTTAGCTTTGCATGAAGACCAGACCTCCTTGGGTTGACCATAAACAGATTACAAATATTTGAACAGGCTTGTAACAATTATTTTTAGTGTTCACAATAGCAATTTAGCAATGCCAAAAAAAAAACAAAACAATTCCTTTTGACTTTATACCCAATTAAAAATTCTGATAAGAAAGAGCCTCGCAGGAAGAAAGAGCCTGTGATTCAAGATAGCAGTCTTTTCTGTTTACCAATATCTGACACAGGTAAAGCAGGAAAACTCGTATTTCCACATTATTGAGTTCCTTGATAGCAGAGGAAAAGCAGCAGAGGAAACGTTTGTAGGTTCCTGGTGAATTTGGCAGATTAAAAGGACAATCGGGAGGATTTATAGTTTATAAACACCCACCTGGAAAGGATAACAGAGACAAACCCCTCGACTGTATTTGACAGATGATAAGGCTCTCAAGAATTGTTGTGATTATAAAAGAGGTATAAAAGATCTTGCTGAGAAAATCTAGGAGTGAATGGATCTTTCTTCTCTCCAATATACCATTTTTAAAAAATGATATAGCAATAGTCCTTAGACTTATATACCACTTTACAGTGCTTTACAGCCCTCTCTAAGTGGTTTACAGAGTCACCCATCTTGCCCCCCAGCAATCTGGGTCCTCATTTTATTGACCTTAGAAGGATGGAAGGATGAGTCAACCTTGAGACAGTCAGGATAGAATTCTAGGCAGTGGGTAGAGTTAGCAATAGCACTAGCCCTTAGACTTATATACCGCTTCACACTGCTTTACATCCCTTTCTAAGTGGTTTACAGAGTCAGAATATTGCCCCCAACAATCTGGGTCTTCATCTTGAGGTCAGCCTCAATGCTGTTCTGATTGCTTACGCCTGACACCATCTCACCAATAAGGTGATTCTGGGTGATTTACAGACAGTATAAATATAATTATAAAAACAATTATTATTATTTTTAAAAAGCTACGTACCGTGCCAGAAGAGCTCAGATTAGACATCATATAAAGAACCATCTATTCTTGCCTGCTTCATGAAGACTGAAAAGAAACAGAGGGCATCACTACAGGTAAATATGTGTGTAGAAGAAGGAAAACAAATGGATATTTCCACTTATTTTGGTTGGGGCCCCCTCTCTATCTTAAGCATTAAAATTTGGTTTACTATAAGATCATTACAAAGAAATTTGCCCCTTCCTTTGGGGAGGGAGGTGATGACTATCCTGCATTCATTTTTGATGCTTTATAAATATTGGCTGGAGATTTGTATTACTATACAAGTAAGTTAGTTTTAGCCTTAGTATTAGCAGATAAAGGTTTCCCCTAATTCATTTTAAATGTATAAGTTCTGGATCAGTGATTTAGCAACTGCTGACACACTTAATCCTGAAGCCGACTGGATTTACATCAATGAAAGTATTATGTTCTCCTACACTTCTATTTTAGCCAAGTGTATTCCAAGGTATGTGGCATTTCAATAGATTCTAATCATATTAATAGGCCTGAGTTTAATTGCTGTTTTTATGGTTTTCTGCCAGCATTAATATTAATAGAGAATGGAAATTAATCAAATAATTTAAGAGGTTTTGATGAAAAATGCATTCAGTCAAAGGGAATCTAATCAAGATTATATTTACATTGAAATATCAATTTCTCCTGGAGACTTGATGTATTTTGCCCAGTTTGGTATACAACTCTGGCAACACAACAGCACAAAAGCATGCAATTAAAAGTCTCCAGTAGTTTCTGGTTATGGAGCGGATTAAAAATGTCAATCTCTTTTTTAATTCAAATATTCTTCCATTAAAAAGTATAATGCGTTTGTGCTTCCCCCCCTTACTCTTCCAAGTTTTAATTAAGGTTTATTGTCAAGTGTGATAGAAATGGTAAAAAAGCCGCTAGCAGGAGAAAGCTACCTTATTTCCTAAAATAATTTAAATTCAAAATTTAAACAGGAACACAATTGGATTCTAGGCAGAAAGCCTCCTATGATGGAGCACCCACAACTTCTGAAGGCAAGCTATTCCATTGGTTAATTGTTCTCACTGTTAGGAAATTTCTCCTTAGTTCTAGGTTGCTTCTCTCCCTGATTAGTTTCCATCCATTGTTTCTTGTCCAGAATAGAATAACAGAGTTGGAAGGAGCTTTGGAGGTCTTCTAGTCCATCTCCTAACTGAGCAGAAGACACTATACCTTTCCAGACAAATGGCTGTCCAGTCTCTTCTTAAAAACCTCCAGTGATGAAGCACCCACAACTTCTGAAGGGAAGCTGTTCCACTGGCTAATTATCCTCGCTGTTAGGAAGTTTCTCCTTAATTCCAGGTTGCTTCTTTAGTTAGTTTCCATCCATTGTTTCGTGTCTTGCCTTTTAGTGCTTTGGAAAATAGTTTGACCCCCCCTGTCAGAATCCAATTATATTTCATCTTTAATTATCAAACATAGAAACTCCCAATTCTGCCTTCTCTGGATTCTGCCATAAGAGGGAGAAAAGGGGGAGAGCAAAGGGGCTTTATGGCCCTCACTTCCTTCAGCACACTTCAAAGGACGGAATGTGTGTTTATTGTGGCCTCTAATTAACATATCAAAGAAGAGTAATTGCCTTTCATGTAGTTATCTGAAGTCTCCATCCAGACGGAAGAAGAAAGGGGATGGAATTGTGATACTTGAAACTATCACTGGAAGGGGGGTTGATTGGGTGGGACTACTGTGGAACCCCTTAAAACCTTGAATGGGAGAGCTTGAACCCCAAGTCCTGTCTAGCATGCCTGCAACCATTTTCTCTTAATAAAGGATTCCTGTTGGAAGAGCTATTCCAAGAGTTCTGTCTTCTTAAGATGCAAAGTGGGGTGGGTCCTTACACCCCCCCTCATCTTTGTAGGAGCCCCTCAAATTTTGGAACACTGCAATCATCTCTCCTCTTTTCCTTCTTTATATTTTACCAGACATACCTGAACGTGATTGGTGCATCTTGCACAATTATGGATCAGAAATGACCTCTTCCTTCTCTCAAAATGTATTACCCTTCACCAGGGGAACAACTAAAAGCTTTGAGATGTACCAAGAATGTTTACAAGTGAAATATGTTTACTTACAAAATCTGAACAAGTGTTGAGATTAGACAATAACTCCCTGGTTTATTTTACTCTATCTTCTTTCCCTGGAGTAATTCATTGTTGAACCAACAACTTCAGTAAACCCCTCTCTACTGTTCTGAGATTGGATTTCAATGTTTCATTGAAGATGATGGGGATGTATTGATGGTAGCTGAGGAATTTGATGACCTCACTTTTGCCAAGGTGACGTTGTTGTGAGAAAAAGGACTTTCCTTTTTCTTCTGGAGAAGAAGGCTCTGATGTCTGAATTGATCTCAAGCTAATGGAGAATTCATTTTGTCTTGAGCCAACTGGATTTGATAAAGAGATGGAAATAGTTGCTGATGGTGGTCTTGGTTTCAATGGAGTATCTTCCCATCACTGCAAAGACCTCCTGGGTGTCCATATTTCCTAAACAGGAAGGGGAGGAGAGAGGAAGTAATAATGCCAATAAAGGAGAATATTTGTAGCTCAGGGTTGAAACGAGGGGTCCTTGGTGTTCTCTGGAGTGGTTTTCTTGCAGAAGTTTCATTACCCAAACTAAGTAACATAATCAGTGCTGGCAACACCAAAGTTGTAACAATGGAAGGGAAAGTTCCTTGAGGTCTTTCCTTGTGATTGCATTTTTCAACCTGGATAAATTTCAGATGTGTGGCCTTCAACTCCCAGAATTTTCAACAATAGGCACGCTGGTTGGGGAATTCTGGGAATTGGACTACATATCTGGAAGTTGCCCACGTTGGGAAATGTTACTCAAGATGGTGTTGAAAAGATCATTTATCCCTCCCACCAATTCTCAGTCTTAGCTACATTGTCTAAGATTGCTGGGAACTGTACATCAACATCTGGAATGTCACCACTGGGCTTTATTGTTTTGCTCATCACAGACATTTCAGCTGATAGTGACAGGTTCCACTAGCTCGGTTGTTGGTCCCTGTTGTGTAAAAGCAAAGCAAACCAGTATTCTCAGTGGGTTTAAGCACCATCCACTCAGCCAGGTGTTATTGCCGATGTATACTGAAGTTGCTGTTTCATATTTAGTAATCTTAGGCTGTAGCATCTCTGATTTCTGAAGTGTGTGACAGTTTCAAAAATAGCATGACAAACACAACTCTTGATTTAATTACAGCTTGAAGTGGAGAGATACCACTGCTTACCTCATTACTGGTTGGAATTGATTTTATACACAGTGTGCTGGTTAGATCCTTACTTCCCCTCTTCAATTAAGTTTGCTTTCTCCAATTCTTTTTTTAGGAGGGAGATGAGATGGGGGAGAACAGCAAATGTTAGTGCATTTGAGCAAGACTTCATAGCAATACCTAGATAAAAAAAAACAACAATCCTGACACATCAAGGAGAAAAACAAAGGAGAATAAAAATCACAATTATGCAGCTGAGTCACACAACACAGAAAAAAATCAACATAAAATGTGTGTATTCTTTTCATTGCTATGTCTTGGCTCTGCCTTTTTATACTGACCTCATTCCAATCCAGAACTTGGAACAATAATGGAAGAGCCTGTAGATGTTCCTCAACAAGTCCCAGCAGCTTCTGATGTTCCTGAGCTATGAGATTTCCCCCCCCCCATGACTAGTGATTATGTAGTCCGAGAGTAGAAGAGGACGGTTTTGCTACTCAAACTTAAGAAAGCTAGTATGATATTGTCTAAACAATTCTCGCCCTATCTGGTAACCTCTGTAGGTTATGAGACCACATTACCCAGAGTTCTCACTGATCTCCAGATAGATCTAACAGAAAAACAGAGTTGGAAGGGACCTTGGAGGTCTTCTAGTCCAACCCCCTGCTCAGGCAGGAAACCCTCTACCATTTCAGACACATGGCTGTCCAGTCTCTTCTTTAAAACTTCTAGTGTTGGAGCAATCACAACTTCTGGAGGCAAGTCGTTCCACTGATAAATTGTTCTAGCTGTCAAGAAATTTCTCCTTAATTCTAGGTTGGTTCTCTCCTTGATCAGACACAGGAGTAGGCAAGATTTTCCCCCACCATAAAATAACTGATGGAAGACCCTTCTTTTTTCTTAAGGGATGTAGTAGGCCTTCATAAAAACTGCATTGGTTTGTTTTAATAAGAATATTTGGGAGCACCCTGGGTTCTTCTCAGGCATTCTTCCAGACAACTCTGTTAAGTAGTTGACTAAGTCCCTAGCCAAATTATGAAGGATGTAATATTCACAAGCTGAGAAAGACAATTTCGGTGGAATTCCTCTAGAGGAGATCCCAGGTTGCCGTGCGTGCTGTAATAACCTGAATTCGCTAAATGCTAGCCTGAAGCCATAACAAAACTGTCTTGATTCTTCCACCGACCCACCCCCCAAGTATAAAAGAGAAAAGTACCTAACAATACAAAAAAACCACATTGCACTTTCCACACCCTTGATTTTTTTTTTTTTTTTTAGCGGAACAAATGGGGAAAGGATTGGTAGCACGGAGATGGATTTCAGCCTAAGGGTGCAATCCTACCATCTCTTTCCTCATGTAGAACAAAAAGGTCCCCATAGTTTAGCCAGCATGAACAATTAGCTACTGTCTGGTTGACTAATGAGCTGACCAGGAATGGCTGAGTGGTTGGGGAAAAAAATGACAGCTTCAATACTCCTAGATTTCAATCAGTTCTGGTTATTTTGTTTCCCCGGCTACTTTTCAGGACTGTGTGTCCAGTAGGGCACAAATCCTGAACGTGATTTGGAATGGGTTGAGTAGGAGGGTTGTTAAATTACTCAGGCTGATAGAGGAGAAGTTAATTTAGATTCCCTGTTTTTGTTTTTGTTTTTTTAACCTCCAAGGAGCTCCATCTTTCACAGATGGTTGGGAAGCTGAGCCCAAGGGACTGGTTCAGGAAGCAGCTCTGGAGGAAAAAGTAGGGAGGGAAGACTTGCAATCAAAAAGGAAGTCATCCATCAAAGATAAACTGAGATAAGATACCCTAATCTCTGCCCCTTGGCAAGTTAGCAGATTGTGAGGCTGGAGAGATGATGGGAGGTATGTTGCTGTCACTAGTACAATACATTTCTTTCATGATCTTTTTCGACTGAGTGGGCATGTTGGGTGTTTTCTCCAGAAAACAATCATCTTTTTTTTAAAAAAAAAAAAAAAACAAATATTCTCATGTCAAGTTCCTTTTGATTTATCCAGTTCCTCCTTCCAATTTTGTTTCTCCCCCATCTTTTTTTCCTTTCCTCCCTTCATTTCACACTTCATTCCCCCCCCTTTTTTTTCTTTTAAAAATGCCTTGTTTGGAAAGTAGTTTTTTCTGTTACTCCCTCTTCGTGTATCTTTTCCAGAAGTAATTCCTCAGGCATTGTTTATTAGCTTTCGGCTTTTCTGACTTGGTGTAAATACTTGAAACAGTACAAGAGAGGGTAGGTGTGTGTTCTTCCGCTTCTATTGTCCCTCTTTAGTTTGTGCATGTGTGCAAATGTTAGTATCCTAGAAGCTTTGATGACCTCAGAATGGGGCTGCGTGGGTCAAGATGTAATTGTAACAAGGGACACAAATGATGGACTTGCATCATTGGGTGTTGTGACATCTCTTCTTCAGTTCTGATTGCTACCGTTTTGATGACTTCGTCAGAACTGAAGAAGCTTCTTCGGATGAGAAATGAAATGTCCACAAAAAAAAAAAAAAAAAACCCAAAGAAAATCCAGTTGCCTTTTGAAAAAGCACTTTGGGTCATAAAAACCATATTTTATCGACCAGTGGAAAGAGGGAAAATAGAGAGGGTATATCAAATCCCAGTCAGGTATACTGCAGTAAGATGTTTAATGCAGAATGAGAATTAAAACTATGCTGGTCTCTTCTAGGAAAATGCATAATTAGCTCTAGAGCAAAAGGATGTCACTTAATGGGAACGACAAGCTGTCTTTTTAAGCTGCAGCTTTTAAAAATTCTGAATGGCTTCAAGTTCCTTAATCGCTTGGCATATTTAAAAAAAAAAAACACCCCACTATCTTCTTATTGACCTTTTCAAGTCAGAAATTTTTAAGAAGCCTGCTACCATCTCAATAAACAGCCTGGATTTATATCAAACCACATTTTTTTTCCTCCTCTTCTTTTTTGAAATGAAAGACTGAAGTAGGTGGAATAAATATCTTAAGTTGATAAAGCCACAGCTCTGCTTTGGTAAAAGCTTTGAGAGGCTAACCTTCCAGGAATAGGAATTTCAGACCACTTGTGATTTTGTTCTACAGGCAGTCCTTGTTTATCAAAGGTTAATTGGGACCAAGAACTTCATCCCTAAGTGACGCTGAGGTGCAACATCACATGACCGCACTTACAACAACAGTTGTGTCTCCTATTATTCCCTTGGAGCATGCCCACTTGTCTGGAGTCAGCGCTCGTCTGGGAAGGCAAATAAACTTGGAAAGAGTTGGGAGGCAATGAAATTAAAGAGAAATATCACTTGGCAATCATCTGTCTGTATGCTTAGATCTTCTATTGTAGCTTTGAACACTGAAAACATTTCACATGCCACATAACACAGTTGGAAGGGACCTTGGAGGTCTTCTAGTCTTACCCCTGCTCAGGTAGGAGACCTTATACCATTTCAGAAAAATGGCTGTCCAGTCTCTTTTTAAAAACCTCCAGTGACGGAGCACCCACAACTTCTGAAGACCAGTGTTTCCAGTGGTTGATTGTTCTGTCAGGTTGAGTCTATCTCTGCTTGTAGATGAAAAATACAATTAGCTGGATATTTTCCATTATCTGGAAAATGTGTGCTAGTTCTATATATATATGTCTTTCAGTACAGAGTTTACTTTTATTGATCGAGATTGAGAAGGTTGGGCAGGAGTTCAGTGCCAAATTTGCTTTATTGATTAGGAGAGGGGCAAAGGAACATTATAGAAATCAAATGAGTTATTACTAGTGGTAATAAATGCTCTTTTCCTTTCTCCTTGGTTTACAGAGGCATTTACATTTGCAACCACCCAAACATTATGACTTAAAAGTCATCTTTTGTGTCTGTGTCAGCTGTACTCTTCATCAGTAATGATTGATGCTTATGCTGACAGCAAAATGTGCAGTTGTTGGTTGACACTAGCACATCTCCCGTCTGTATCACTCAATGCTCCTTGTTCATTCATTTCTTGGAGGACATAAAAACCATCCTTAACATGTGAACTTGCCATATTCAGCTGGAGGTCACCCCAGTTAAAAAGAATGGCTAGAGGAGGGTAGCAATTTAAAACCACCCTTGGTCTCTATTGAGTCCTGATGGGGGGGAGAGAGAGGGTGAAAAAGGTAAAATTAAATTTTATTGCCCTGTTGCAGTGAAAGGTTTCTAAAGCTCTATTTGCAGCAGGAAAGTGTTTCCAGGAAAACCCTTGGGAAATGGGACAATTACCCACTACTTTAGCCCAAGATTAGTTTTGCGAGTTCTTTTCAATTCAGGCAGATTTCATGACGCAAGTGACTTTCTAACTTTGGGCTCAGTTGGTAGAAAGCCGGTGGTAATGAGGACTGCTATCTGCGTCTACCCTATACTCTGTGAACTATTAGGGAGGGCTGTCTTCACCCTCTTTCTCTCACACCTGGTATCCTGGCTGAGTTGCCTCTTACTCTTCTGGAATGTACCCCCTCCCTCCTGGAGATCCCTCACCCTAAATTCCATCACACAGCCAGCAAACCTGGAATTCTACTTCTACGGCCTTACTCTTTCCCTCCACCTTCCCTCCCACCCCCCCATATTTTTCTTGCTTGGTGTCAGTTTTAACTCCTCCAGAAAACTAAGTTTGACAGACTGATGAAAGGGATAGGCAGATTCCTCAACCGTGACAATGCTTGATGTGAGATCTGCTGTCTTCCTTTGTTTTGTTCTTTCATTTTAAGCTCTTACTAAATACTCTCAATACACTAAATCCCTAAACTTTCTTCCCTTTTTTTTTTCCAGTTGAAATAGCATTCAACTTCCAACACGGCTATTGTAAAAATGTGCAGCATTTGGATTTGGTGTAAATGGTTGTCCAATCTTTTCTTGAAAACCTCCTCCTCCTCCTCCTCCTCCTCCTCCTCCTCCTCCTCCTCCTCCTCCTCCTCCTCCTCCCATATTCTGTTCCTCTCTCTCCGCATCTCTGGCATGGGTGTTTGCAATACAAGTGAATACCAAGAGAGAGTGATTCACCCAAATTCACCCAGTTGGCTTCTTTTAGACATTTCTACTCTATATCACTGGACCAACATTCTAGATCACAGTCCATAATTTTAAGAAAGAAAATGCCTTAATCTTGAAGTGCATTGATTCAGGATGATGGACCAGAAAACAATATATGTTGGTCAAAGTTGGGTAAAGTAGAGGGGCTGA